CCCCCCCCCCCCCCGAAGTACCGCCAACCAAATATTTACGCTTGAAACAACAAACAGATTTCGGGGTGGCCGTGTGGGGCAAAGACTTCGACCCGGAGGACCACGCCGCGAGGCTCCGCAAGGCGCAGCACGAGCACTACTACCCGTCGGTCGACATCTTCCTGCCGGTCTGCCGGGAGCCCACCCACTTGCTCGACAACACCTGGAAGTACGTGCGGGCCCTGGACTACCCCAACGTGACCGTGCATGTGCTGGACGACGGGGCGAAGGAGGAGGTTCGCCAGCTTGCGGAGATGCACGGGTTTCATTGTGAGGCGGGCGTTCGTTTGCGTGTGTGTGTCCTTCTTTACTCAGAGCGTCCCCGTTTGGCGCGACGAAGGTTCGCCGAGAGCAACCATAGTGGTTGTCCTGGGGGGAAGGCGAGCGGGTCGGTCTGCGCCGGAGCAGGTGCACAGGTGGACACAACGCAGGCGGAGCCGTCTTCCACCGCCAAGCCCTTTGCACGAGGCGACGAGTCTTGGATTGCGTTCTTTGGGATGTGATCCTTTGGTTGGCATCGTGGACCATCCGTCGTTGCGTTTCCGTTTTCTGTGGCCCTGTTGTCCGTGGCGGTGGCATGCACACGCGATGGGTGTTCGCAACCAATGCGTGAGAATGATGACCGACAGCGACGAGCTTCCGAACGCGAAAACACGTGCGATCGCGCACCGATTGTGTCGTGCAAAGTACAAACGATGCACGCTTCGCAAAACACGCTCGAAACTGAAACCGCAGACATTCGGCGGACCAACATCCCGGAGCTGAAGAAGGCTGGCAACCTTCGGTACGCCTTCGCCCGCACTTCCGGCGAGGTCTTGGTCATCTTCGACGCTGACTTCTGCCCCAGGTAGCCATCTTATGAGTATTCCTGTTGGCGGGAAGTAGTGGTTGTGTCGATGCTGGTGCCGTCGTTGCCGTTGATGCTGTTGTTGTTGAGGCCGTATTCTTCCGCTGTGTTGGTGGTCGTTGCCGTTGTTGTCGGATGTTGCGGTTGGCGTGTTCGAGGCCAGTGTAGTTGTGTTGGGTTGGTGTCGTGCCGCCAGCACGACAGATGGCATCGGTCTTGAACCTCTTATCGTGCCCCGCCGTCAGGTTTCATGACGAAGGAATACCAAACGCCTTGACGTGTAAATTTAACGTTACGGGCCATAAACGAAGAAATTCGACGGCTACTCTATGACTATTTGTCACTGCTGTGCCTAGTGGAACGTTTGAACAATGTTGTCTTGATATTGCCGAGCTCCCTCCCTGTGGGATTATTTTTTTCTTTGAGCTTTTGACGGTGTTCTTTTCGATCGATCGCAAGGAAATCTCAAGAATCTGTGCCCCACCTCCGGTATTGTTTCACCGACAATCTTCAACGAATGTTCAAAATAATCCCAGGCCCGAGTTCTTGAAGGAAACCACGCCGTACTTCAAGGACAGAGATGTGGCCATCCTGCAGACGCCGCAGTTCTTCCGGTACCGCGAGGAGCAGACGTGGGTCGAGAAGGGCGCGGGCGTGACGCAGGAGCTCTTCTACCGAATGGTGCAGGTAATATGCGAACTTTGCGGGGGGCTTGTGTGCTGTTTCAGGCTTACCTTAGCTTGGGCAAGACTGTAGAGAACATCTCTATGTGCTGTTCTCTTCACTGTCTAATCATGCTTTGTGTTGTGGTGTACGATGTCACACCTCCGTTGGTTCGGCCGTTCATGTTGTGTACTGGGTAAAACCGTTTCTGGTTTATTTGTTTTGGTGTGTTTGGGCTTCTCTCAATACATGCGCCCGATGCTTCGTTATGAAAACAAATAATCGTGTTGTGCCACCACGGCCAATAGATGAGCGCAGAAAACAGAGGGTTGTTTCTGTACCAGATACCGTACACAAATACCTTGATTGTGCTTGCACGACGGTCGGCGGTCCCCCCGTCCCCACCCTCCTTGCTTGGAAGAAGTGGACCTATCGTTAACCATGTGTCAACACTCCACTGAACGACGTCGGGAGCTCCGATATCACGGTACGAGGCCGAAAGCATCTTTTTGTGAAAGGTAGGAAACACGCGTATAGTACCGCCCAAAGCACCCCAACCCGAGATCCGGACCCGAGGCTGCACACCTACATATCCCGAAGCTGGGAGGGAGACCACGAAACAAAACGGTGCTCGGCGTTGTTGCGATCGACCTCAGGTTAATCGGGACAAGTTCGACGCGTCGATTTGCGTGGGCACGTGCGGCGTGTACCGGCGCGAGGCGCTCGCGCCCTTCGGCGGGACCGCGGCTATCGGATATTCGGAGGATGTGCACACCGGCTTCAACTGCATTCAGCTCGGCTACAAGGTGCGCGACGCCTGGACATGCGTGTCGGGCTGGTCAGACCGCGCAACACGTGGGTGTCGGAATGACTAGTCTGTGGCTTTCGACTGGATCCTGGAAAATAGGCTGTCCGTTGGGCATAGGGGGGGGCTCGGATTAGACTTACTTGATGGAGGTCACGATGGAATGTCGACAACACAGACGACAGGAAAAACACCATCGACGTGAAAATCAGCAATATCAACACCACTGTTACATCCTGTACATCAGTGGCGTGCTGCAAGATCCCACGATTTGCCGCTACTAGTCATCGCACGCAGGTCCTCCGTACTGTTCCTGTTCATCATCGCACAGATGACAACCACTAGTGGCCACCTCACAGTGCAAACCATCGCTGCTTGGGAAAGCTTGGGTTTGCTCTCTCGAGCTTCCCCCTGGACATGCTGCCACACCTTCGACGTGATTTGTAGATGAACGTCCGTTGTTGGCTGTTGTCGGCGTTTGCTGATGGCTGGTGGTGGGAATCGTTGCTAACTATTTTCGACTTTCCCGAGTAACATCTACTATTTCCACCAGATTTTCGAGGGCACAACAGTACTTTGACCGGCACCTTCGCAAGAGCAACCGCCTGCTCGGGCATAAGTTTCTGCCATTCTCTGTCGTTTTATAGCATGTACCAGGTACGTCTTTCCTGGGTGTCTTGAGGTGCATGGCTCGCGGGTAATGTCCCTGCAGATGTCGGGGGTTCCGTCACGGTGAATGGGCACGGGCTGGGCCCGACGGAAGAGGCACACCCTCCACCACCAAAGCCCATTGGTCGCCTCTTTTTTGTTTTGTTTCTTTTCCGCCGCTCTGAACAAATATGGACCCTTCAGGTGAAGTACGTCCCGCAGGTGATGGCGATGGGGACGTGTCCCGACGAGCCGCGGGCCTTCTTCATGCAGCAGTACCGCTGGTGCATGGGAAGCACCACCCTCCTGTCCAACCGGGAGTTCTGGCAGTCCACCCTGACCAGGAAGCAAAAGCTTTGCTACCTCAGCGGGATGTTCTACTACTCGGCCACGGCGATGGTGAGAGAAAAATGGGATGCACAGCGCATGATGGCTATTTTCCTTTTCGAGAAAAGCCCTTTGCTTCTTGGGAAGTTTTTCACCGACCGTGTTGTCTAAGAAGTCCCGACCGCTTCGGAACTTCAGTCCGACGTACATTCCGCAATCATGGAACATGTCGAGTTCACTGCGCCAATTTACATTACTGAGACAGTGACATACGTTCATATTTATTCTGAGCGTTTTGTTCACTGGTGGTGGGTTTGGTGCTCCGTACGTGTGTCGTTCGTCCTCACCACTGATGAAACAACGATTGCCGCGACTGACGGTAGAGATGATATCGCGCGACATGGCAACAGAGGGTATTGGCTTGATTTTCAGAGTGTTTTTTTCGAAGGTGAAGAATAGACATCAACAACGGCAACCAAAACAACGACGTCGGACGTCCCTGCTGTCGCGATCGAAACCAGGCGATCTTCACTGGGCCCTTGCCGGGGATGCTGCTGATTTGGTTCAAGCCGGAAGCCGTCCTTTGGTTCAACATCTCCTTTGCCGTGCCTTCTATCCTGTTCGGGTACGTCGGCATGCGTTTCTGGGCGAAGCAGCCGTACGACTTCTGCTGCCAGCGAGTGAAGGTCATCCAAAGGTGAGCAACCGGCCGTTGTTGTTTCCGGGGGTATATGAAGGCTTGCACCGGGCGGGGGGAGGGGTATGCTTGTCCTTGGCGTTCTTCTTTCACAAGGGGTTTGTGGCTGAAAATGCGGAACGAAGAGGCGTAGTCTTGCCTCATAACTTGTTTTGGTGTCAATCTATTTCTCCCTCCCGACTCGTCACCGCCCCCCCCGGTTTTCCATCAGGGTTGGGTTTTCGTCGCTTGGCAACGACGTTGTAAAACAAGCCGCCCCCCCGGTGTTTACACAGTGCTTACAACTGTCTCTGGAAGTGAAAGCACCAGAAAATAAATTAATTCATACGCAGCTGTCATCCGTACGCAAGGAAGTAAGCACAAGATGCCGAAAACCCTTAGCAGGATGCAGCGCACCCTTCATGCGACTCGCCGAATATCTCACGGCGCTTCGCGCTTGGTGATGTGAGAGCCTGGTCCGGTGAGAACCCGGCGTGCTCCGTCCCGGCTTTGTAGGGATGCGAGGTCAATGGCCTAACGACTAGGGCATGCACGGCTATGAGTACACCCCCCCCTCGGTGTTTGCCATCGGCGTTGGGTTG